TTCATTCCATGATCGAAGAACACATGATGGAAGAATAATTCATACGAAGATTCTATTCAACTATTTTGCTCGTTTCGAACTAAATATTTGAAGTTCATTCCATGATTGATGAACACATGATGGAAGAATAATTCATACGAAGATTCTATTCAACTATCTTCCTCGATTTAAAGCATCTATTTGAAGTTCACTACATGATCGAAGAACACATGATGGAAGAATAATTCATACCAAGTTTCTATTCAACTATTTTGCTCGACTCAAAGCATCTATTTGCAGTTCATTACATGATGAAGGAACACATCATGGAAGAATAATTCATACCAAGTTTCTATTCAACTATTTTGCTCGACTCAAAGCATCTATTTTAAGTTCATTACATGATGAAGGAACACATCATGGAAGAATAATTCATATGAAGATTCTATTCAACTATTTTGCTCGATTCAATGCAGATATTTGAAGTTCATTACATGATGGAGGAATACATGATGGAAGAATAATTCATAACAAGATTCTATTCAACTATTTTGCTCGATTCAATGCAGATATTTTAAGTTCATTACATGATGGAGGAACACATGATGGAAGAATAATGTATACCAAGATTCTATTCAACTATCTCGCTCGATTCTAAGCATCTACTTGAAGTTCATTACATGATGGAGGAATACATGATGGAAAAATAATTCATACCAAGATTCTTTTCAAGTATTTTGCTCGATTCAATGCAGATATTTGAAGTTCATTACATGAGTGATGAACACATCATGGAAGAAGAATTCATAAAAAGATTCTATTCAACTATTTTGCTCGATTCAATGCAGATATTTGAAGTTCATTACATGATTGATGAACACATCATGGAAGAATAATTCATAATAAGATTCTATTCAACTATTTTGCTCGATTCAAAGCATATATGTGAAGTTCATTACATGATTGATGAACACATTATGGAAGAATAATTCATAGCACGATTCTATTCAACTATTTTGCTCGATTCAAAGCATATATTTGAAGTTCATTACATGATTGATGAACACATTATGGAAGAATAATTCCTAGCAAGATTCTATTCAACTATTTTGCTCGATTCAATGCAGATATGTAAAGTTCATTACATGATCGAAGAACACATGATGGAAGAATAATTCATATGAAGATTCTATTCAACTATTTTGCTCGATTCAAAGCATCTACTTGAAGTTCATTACATGATGGAGGAACACACGATGGAAGAATAATTCATAGGAAGATTTTATTCAACTATTTTGCTCGATTCAAAGCATCTACTTGAAGTTCATTACATGATGGAGGAACTCATGATGGAAGAATAATTCATACCAAGATTCTATTCAAGTATTTTGCTCGATAGAAAGTATATATTTGAAGTTCATTACATTATTAAAAGAGACGCCAGAAATGAGTAAATACGAAGATTTTGTTCAGTTATTCTGCTCACTGGAAGGAACTTCTAGCGACTCTGGTTTAGATGTGGGCAGAGTGGCAGTTGAACAACACATAGATTTTTGTTCAAATACTGCAGTGTGTTAGTTGATGTTCTTTGTATTCTGTTACTTGAAGTATACTGTTATTGTAAATGAATGAAGCATACGTTTGTTGTGTAAATGAGCGAGGAAGCCATTGTCATCATCACTTCTAAATGCTCTTGTTTCTGCCATGAAGATTGCCACCAACATGAAGAGACCGACCAAATAAATGATTTTGATGATCTTTTGCATTGTTATTTGTTGCTGTTCGACGGCTGAAGGAGAGAGTGATTGATGAAGATGAGAAAGTATGTAAATAGTATGGTCCTACAGTCGTGCTTCGTCTTTATATATGTGTAGATTTCCAAGAGAGAGAGAAAAAGATACAGATGTTTTTGTTTTCATGGAGGGAGAGAGACATATTTTGTTTTTTTCTCGAAGAGAGTTGAGATAGGGTCAATATTTTGTTCGTAAGGAAAGAGCAAGAGTATTTGATTCTTCTCTAAGGGGAAAAGACTAATTGAAATGGCTGCGAATGAATGAGAATGGATAGGAATGGATAAGAATGGATAAGAATGGATAGGAATGGATAGGAATGGATAAGAATGGATGGGAATTGATAGGACACGCTCATGAGCGCTCATATGAGTGCTCATAAGCGTGAGCGAAGATACTCTTGGGTCCTCATCTCCTATTATTTGGAGATGCCCTTTGGTTCTCATGTCCTATTATATGAGGGTATCCTTGGTTCCTCATCTCCTATTGTTTGAAGATACCCTTGGGTCCTGAAGTGCTATTATACAAGGGTACCGATAGGTCGGCAGAATAATATGCCAATGCTAACACTCCGGATAGCAATAGCAAATACTATTGGTGATATTCCTAACGGTATTTTACAAAGAAAAATCGAACTTGAAAATTTCGAAAAATTAATGATAGATCCGGTAATACTACTGTTGCTCATGGGACACTTGTTTCCGAACGATACTTGCTCTCCGAATACTTGAAGATGTAGCCGCGAGTCTTAGTGAGGGTGAGAGCGTAGATGAGAATGAGGATGTAGTGTTGGTGAGGGCGAGACAAAGACTGAGTTTCAATCTTGATTGAGGCTTGAACTGGGCCGCGCGAGCAAATATCACTGCGGAGCAACTGTCCCGGGAACATCTGTCATGGAATCGATAGATTCGTATTTGTCGCTCCCGATACCTGTTGTTCAAACTTTAGATATCACCGCTATTTTTTTAAAAAAGCCTTTCCTTGACGAAAAAAGTTAGAGAGTAAAACTTTCAGATATTAATTTTAAATTCTTCATTCTGTCGTTAAAGAAGCCTTTTTTCCGAATATAAGAATTTTTCTATAAAGTTCGATTAAAGTTTGGCGGAGTCGAGGAATCCAAAACTATCATTAGTTTTTCGAAATTTTCAAGTTTGATTTTATTTGCAAACTACCAATACCAATACTAGCAATAGCATTTGGCATTGGTATTGGAAGTAAACCCCTCGACAGAATATAAGCCTATCCTATAATAGAGGCCCATCCGGAATAGAAGCCCAATCTCAAGCTTATAACTTTTCGGACGTATTAGAAGCCCACCTCATTCAAAATGAGCACAAAATAGACAATTTAAAAAATGAGTTAGATTAGCCCATTGCTTCTTACTACTTTCTTGTAGCTGAGTTTATATGGCTAATCTTCTTTACGTCACATATTTTCATCAACAGACGAATGAAAATGTTTCGAGCATTAATAGCTTTTTACTCATATGTATTAATAAAACATAGTTGTCTAAGAACTATTGAATAGAAATTACGACATACATAAATTTGGTGGAAATAAAAAATATCGAAAGAAAAAATATTGAATGAATTATTAATGGACCTTTAGCAAACACTAATCATATGCAAATCCAGGACATTGATCCTTCTGAAAACTATTCAGGCGATGTTAATGGGCAAGTATGCTGAAGCTGCACTAATAATACTTTTGATATATTTTCTTTCGATAGTTTTTACTTTTGGCGTTTTTTTTATTTCTACGAAATTTATACTGTTCACAATTAGATATGCAATAATACCGTTCTGTTAGGTTTCTTCCTCTTATAAGATTATGTATCACTCTGAGACGAAACTTTAAGGTTTTTTTATTGACTTAGTAGCAATATGCGCAACTATCTGATTGAAGGATGATACTTCTAAGAAGGCCAACCTATGACCAATACGAATTATGCGATAACTGATTAGATTTAAAAGCACATGCCAGTCTGAAATGATACAATATCAATTATTATAACACTTCTTAGATTTGAATTATCTATCTCTCAAGAAGTAGAAGTCCTGCATTGTATAGTCACAGGTTTATTTTATATTTCTGCGGTGACAATTAAAATATATTTTGCTTCATATTTGAACTGGGTATAAGCTATCTGATGACATGCTCTAGTAGAACTATACCGATGTATGTCTGATAGAAGTCTCTTTTAAATTCCTTCAAAACTTGAAATGTTCCAAATCAACATTTAACATTAAAGGTAATTTTTCGTATTCATAGCAAGATCCACGAAATCCTAAAGATAGATAAGTATATAAATGTAAAACATCATGTAATAGTGTACTACTTTGTCGATTTGATAATATACAATAGATAAAGAACTGGCAATTAGTCTTGAATCCTAAGAAGTTATGACAGGTACTCTAAAGGTTGTCTGACAACTTGATAATTTCGATTTGTAAATTTTTAAGATCTTTTGTGCCTGTAAGTCAATTGAATTTTAGCTGCCGTATGAAAAAATTTGATCGCAATAAAAGCCCATGTCCGAACTTATGATTTTCCAAACAAATTAGAAGCCCACTGGGCTTCTATTCTGTAGGGGGGTTTATTAGCATTGTTACATTCGTTTGATGACTTATGGGTACTCATATGTAATAGGACTTGAAGATCCAAGGGTATCTCCAAACAATACAGGGTGTTTCATAAGTCTTGGGACGCGACAAAATTGGTTTATATGGACACAGAGAACAATGTTTAACCATTATGTTTCTATATCAACTTGAAGTAATCGTGACGACCTTTCAAATGATATATTATTGAATAGCATCTTCTCTTATAATAATAAAAACATAAACATGATAATGTAATGATGAATTTTTTGAAATCGACCAACATGATGTAAGATATATGTTGCAGTTGAGTTTGGAATCTAGTTGAGATTGGAATCACTTAGTTCACTTTGTTTGTTTAAAAATTTTTTTAATACATATTCAAGAAAACTTGTTTGTTTCTTGCCAAATTTATATTTACTATTACTTCTCGGACAATAAAAAGTATCTTCGTACTGTTATTTTTTAATGAAAAGCCATTAGTCATTCTATGTATTGTTTTTCTCTAAAAGTAAATCTTACTCATAATTTTCCTTATATTGTAGTTACTATATCAGTACTCGGGACATGGGGATATTGAATCATTGGTTGAAACGAAATCGAGGATATTTGAGCTATTTGTTTCTATAGAATAGATTTTTTTTTGAGCAGCGGGACATGGGTACATTGAATCATTGGTTGAAACGAAATCGAGAGTATTTGAGTTATTTGTTTCTGTAGAATAGATTGTTTTTCGAGCAGCGGGACATGGGGCTATTAAATCATTGGTTGAAACGAAATCGAG